CACTTATACAGTCAAGAGTTACACAATACTCAATGCAATTCCAAATATGAGCAACTTCTATTCTATCAAATATTTCATGTTGGGAAATGTTACTTTACAACAGGCTACTTTAACCAGACATTAGAGCTGCTGACATTTCAAGAATCCAAGAAATTCCATCTGATCATTATTGTTTAATGGGGAATATGAGAATCAAGACTACAATGCTCATGTCCTTCTAGACACAATTTGGGATTCTTCATGGACCCCCAAAAAAATGAATATCTACATCAGTGTTTTTACAATTGCAGATATCACCAACAGATAAAAATTGTGTTTCTTATCAGTTTTCCATTCAATTAGTTAGCAGAGAAAACAGACGTATGAAGAAGAACTTTTGGCAAATGAGAATCGCATAAATTTACTCAAATGGGAGAGGTTATTTGGAGAAAGTATCTTGGATCACCATTTCAATCACTTAATCTAAGACTTTCCAATGGATGTAACAAAATTTGCAGCCTCTTATTTCTTTCTAATTCAAATTCTTGTGTTTTAATAACATGTTCAGGTTGTGTCGCCCTTGATTAAATGATCAGCACAAAAGGAACAAAAGCGGTAGATGCAGCAAGGTTCTATGTAGCACACTCAAAATTCCATTGATGCATTAAGTTTTTATGGCATAAATCTCAATGACACACACATTCAATAATGAAAAAGTGATGATAAAGAAAAAGATTTGTTACAATCTGGTCTTCACTTGACAATTACAGAATTAAATAAAGGAAGATTTCCCTTTTTCTAATGGTAGGATGGATGTAAAGAACCAATCCTTAGTAAGCATAACGGTCTTATTAGATGACACACACAAGAGTGGTATAAGTTGTTCAATAGAGAAGAAGTGAGATGCATTAAAAAGAAAAAGATTTGTTACAATCTTCTCTTTATTTGATAATTATTGAGTTGCGCTTGAAGATTTCCCATTGTTTTTAATGGTAGGTTGACTGTTAAGAACCAATCCTCAGCAATCATAACGGTCTTATTAGGTGACACACACAAGAGTGCAAATAAGTTGTTCGATGGTGAAAAAATGAGATACCCGATAGAAAAAAGATTTGCTACAATCTGCACTTTACATGATAATTATAGAGTTGAAAACCCGAAGATTTCCCATTGTGTATAATGGTAGGATGAATGCAAAGAACCAATCCTCAGTAAGCATAAAGGTCTTATTACGTGGACAACTCCCCGGTCCAACATTGCACACAATTATTTTACCCGAGGAAATGAGCTGAATGCTGGTGAGATTAATTTGTTGGGTGGTGCAACATTTTCAATGTTTTAATAAAAGCTCCTAATAGAAAGCAGCGAAGAACATTTTAAGCAGACACATCCCCATATTTTGCCAGTCTGGTGCACAGTTTGAGCATATTGATGAAAAAATGGTGGCTACTTCTAGAAAATCTAGCCACTGCTTATGGGATAGAGGAATAATAACAAAGGGTAAAATAGAAGGGGTTACCTATATCAAGATCAATATCTAAATATATAATCACGACCAGTGTTTAAAAAATCACCGATCCAGATAGGAATCAGCCGATCCGGAACGAAAAATCGTCTAGAGCGATTAGGATCCCAAAATATATCGGGATCCGTAAGAACCAGGTTTTTTCGAATTAATTGATAATAAAAGTCGTACTGGTAGTCCCCCCAACTTTATCGTTTCCATCACATACATCATTGATACCCTGGGCCCTCCCATTCATCGCTTCCATCACATAATAACATCATTTGTACCTTGGGCCCTCTCATCACACAACACATCATTGGTACCCTGGGCCCTCCCTCTGCATACGCCGGGAGCCATTGCTGTCAGCCTCCCCACAAAGTCAACAACCAATTAATCAAATGGTAAAGGTCCTGGATTTTATATAGCCATTTTACCCTTCCATTGTTAGATGTGGGATAATTCCTGCATTACGGAGCCATTGTGGGACTTTGGCTCATCGGGTGAAAGATGCTTTCTCAAAACTCCTCAAGAATTTACCTCCCACCTCTCTCTCACTTATCGCCACTCATTTGTGGTAAAATTTGGTAAATTTCTTCATCAATCTAGTGAAAAGATAAAATACCAACTGTACCATTAGAAATGCTCCTATTAGGGCTGACGTGGTGTGGGGTTAGAGAGAGAGGAAAGAGAATGAGGTGGGCAAAGGCTAGGGGTACATTGGGGCTTTTAATACACAGCTCATTTTCATGGTCCGTAACCACATAATATGCTACAAAATAGTTCTCTCTCTAGCTTGTTTTCTACTCCATGCCACTTTTTCAAAATTTCTTTTTTATAACAACAATAAACAGAGTGGGGCAACTTAGGGGAATGAACATGCCATTTTTTATTTTTTGAATTTTAATATCTTTATTTTCCAATTTTCAGGGCAAAATTTTTTTTTGAATTTTTTTTAGTGTCATAATATTAAAATTTATAAGGGGTTTTACTTTTTAATCATATTATAAAAAATGAATTAATGAGCAAGTCAATTAATTTAATAATATTAATGAGCGTATCAATTAATTTATAAATCTTAGCATATCAAGTTTCCAAATTAGCGTGTCGTATTCAATGAGCCTCATCAACATATTTTTTTTAATTAAATGAATTAATTAGAGTACCAAATTAAAAAGCTGCCATATAAAAGTTTTTGCTATTTATTAGTAAAATGGTTTCTTTGGTATATTTTATTTCCATATGTATTTTTATTTTTATTTTTAATTAAATGAATTGTCGATAGGCATTTTTTTATTTTTTGAATTTTGATATCTTTATTTTCATTTTTTTGGATAAAGTTTTTCTGAATTTTTTAATATCTTAACATTAGAATTTATTGGCCGTTTTATTTTTATTTTTAATCATATGATATGGAAGCATTTTCTAATAATTTTTTAATCATTTTTACTACAATATTATAATTAATAATTATACATTGATAACCAAATCTTGTATTTTATTTATTACTTTATTTACATTATAAATTATATAAAGTATTATTTTTCTTATAGTTGTAAATCAATTTTTTAAAGGGTGCAGCTGGCATACGGATGCATCCGTAGCTGTAGAGGTAAGGTGCACCTTCAAATTTTATCATGGTACATAATTTTGATGTAGAATATTCTTAGGATTATCTTAAAATCTATTTTTATATCTAATTATAAAATTTTAAATTTTAAAAATGGTTAAAATCAAGCAGATTTATAAACATATGAAAATCTTGAAAATGGATAGTGTAGATAATATGTTGTAAAATGCCTATTTTTTAGACTTAAAATCTTTTTATTTTTCATCGTCATACATCTCGATGTCGAGATGATCAATCAAAGGGTTTTTCAACTTTAAAACTACCTTTTCCGATGGATTTTTTTTAGGTGCATCCGTAGTTCCACATTATAAGGTTGCATCCCTATATAAACTTTTTCCTTTTTTAAATTAGATGATATTATAAGACATTTTAGATTTGTTCTTATTTGTATCGTAAAATAATTATAAAATATAAACCAACAATTTCAATTTCATTATATAATATTATAGTTAGTTAGGTTGTGATAATTTTGGACGAGTAAAGCGAATTAATAACTATTCAATACTTTGATATGATTCTAATTTCACTTTATATGAGAAATTATTATTTTTTACAATATTATGATATTATATTATAATTAATAATTATACAGACATCCATATACAGACATCCAGACAAAAAAACATATCAGTATTCACCTAGTTTACAAAGTAATGAACGTACATATGCATCATTCTCATTCCTAATTACTTTCAGAAACTAAAATAACACTATTTTTAGAGATTTATACTTCATTCATGATAATTATATGCTTCACCTTTTGCGTGATGTAAATTTAATGGTTAACAGTAGTTCATACAGGGAAAGAACATCTCAATATTCGCATACTAATGCAAAAAAATGAAAGTTATTAATGAAGTACCCCCATTTCTTATTGGATTCCTAAAAAACAACATTTATAATGAATTTTAATAATTTTTTTGGATTTTTTTAAGGTTGAATCCGACCGATTCAGCCGATTCCCAAATCCGGATAGCCGATTAACCGATCCGGATGGATTTTTTGGGTGCCCGATCTGGGGCACCAATCCGCTTTTTAAACCACCGATCACGACATATTAATAGTAAATATACATCAAAAGAAATTAACCAAAAAAAGATAAACATGTAAATGGGTATTCATGACACATCCTAACTTAGATATTCTGAAAGTCATATACTAGATTTGGTGGATATGATTTGTCTTATTTTCAGATGTTTGATGGAAATCAGAATAGCCTTAACATCAACAGTATCAGATAATAAGTCAAGAGGACAAAAAGATTGTGAAGTGATGATAAGTATCCTCAGAGCCTGACCAATAACTATATAAAAATTCGAAGGTAATCAAGACAAGTCCCTTAGTAGCCTGCGACAAAATCATCAAAATTTTGCATATTATTGTAAAGCAACATACATGGGGTACATGAGTAGATGCACCAACTTATTAGACTGTCTCAGTGGCTCAACCATGTAACCACCTCTATTGGTTCAAAGGCCTTCCAGAGAATCAATATTGCATAGTTATGACGTAGCACAGGGTAAAAAACAAAAAAATATTGTAGCCATTGTCTTTGAAATATGATTGCTTAGTGCAACAAACAAATGAACTGAGGAAAGTTCTTGTATGGTAAAAGTATCAGTTCTATAGTATTAAAGCACGCCTTTCATCGAATAAATTGTGTGGAACTTGCATATTTAAAATATGGTATTTTCTCATCAATTTAATATAATAACCAATAACATGATCCTTTAATGCATATGCTAATTAATTAACCAACCATGGTGGACCATCCAGCAAGTATGCATGAGGTTGCAGATGTTTTTTCTTTTTTTGAGAGATCATGAGGTTGCAGATGCTATCATGCACAGACAATACTTTCACGGCAGGCTCTAATACTCATCGAATATCATGCATGCACACAATAATGCATGACCACATCCATGTGGGAGAACAAATTTGAACATCCTGCATGTGTGCACTTCGTAAAATGTATACGATTCTCAGCATAATGTGACACACCAAGGCACATCACTCATCCCAACATTTCACGAACTTATCCATTTCTTGCTAAAATATTTCTTTTGAAATGTCATGGAGTATGGAAGTACTTAATCCGACCTCCCCTAAGTGATGTATGAACATGTGTCTAAAAAGGCCAATTTGATTGGCATTTCTAACAAGCAATACCTGTGTCGGATAATAACCCACATGTCATGTGTTTATGACATAGGTCAACACAAGTACAAGGGTCTATACATGTGCATGTTTCTATGAGTGGATTTAAAAATGCACATACATTTATGTATATACTATGTACTTGGGTATAAGGAAGCCTATGTTTCAGTGTATATAGCTCAAGACCAATAAATCAATTGCAGACTAAGATTTCAAATAACAAAAAACTCCACATAAACATCAGCAAACTCAGACTACACAAATACAAGCAAATTAACCACATGAACATATGTATGCGACTGATATAGATACACCATATGTATAATGTTATGTATCAACGACAACAAAAATTGGTATATATGAGCGTATATTTTATGTGCACAAGTCTATTCTATTACCAAATATATCAGCAGAAAGTATATCATGATTCCATGCACTTTGTGAATGACATAGTCCATAGAGTCATCATCTTCTAATGAAAAGATGGATGGAGATGGTCCGATGGAGATGAAGGGCAACAGGGTATGAGCCTAATGGTCAGAGAAAATAGAGTATTATTTTCCTATTCTCCATTTGATATTATTTTTCCTAATAAATCAAGGGTAGGAGAAATGATCTTTCTTGTTCAAAAAAAAAAGGTCGGGGGGAGGGGGGGGGAATCAACAAAAGAGCAAATTAAGCAAAAGAGAAAATAGAAGTCTAGCCTTTCACCTTTGTTGAACTGGGGGTATTCCTTCCTTTTCCTCAACTCGCTGCTTAATCCTCTCAATTGTATCAGTTGGTTCAATGTCAATTTCAACCTCCTTGCCAGTAAGAGTTTTCACTTTGATCATCATACCACCTCTCAACCTCATCACAAGATGAAGGGTGGATTCCTTCTGTATATTGTAATCAGCAAGAGTTCGCCCATCATCTAGTTGCTTGCCAGCAAATATCAGTCTTTGTTGGTCAGGAGGAATTCCCTCCTTATCCTAATACAAAACATATCACCTTTAACAAATTTTAAAATTGAATTCCATGAAGAATAGATAATTGAAAATATCAGTTTCTAAAACTAGTATGAATATAACTGTGCAAATTGTGTGATTATCAAATAATCAAATAAAATACTAATTTGCAAAAAGATGGTATCATGGCTGAAATTGGGCATGATACATTTTAATTAAAAAGCATATCATGGCTGAAATTGATCAGAAGGTAAGGATGCCCATGTCAAAATGTCTCCAAAACCAGTGAAGAAAGAATAATGCATATCAAATAGCAGAGGAAGAATCACAATAATCCAAATGAAAACATGTTCTAGACAACTAGAAACAAGAATGACAACTTACTATGACGACAAAATAAAATACCATACCCAGTCCCAAAAAACCCAATAAGAAAGACAGGACAAATAGGAAAAACAGAGAAAACTAAAACCCCAAGAACTGCAAGAAATTTCAATCTAAATACAAGAAAACAAACAGCAAAAATATCAAGTTACTAGTAGAAATAAACCCCATAAACGTCAACAAGAAAGAAGCCAAACCGAAACTCAAAACCAACTCAGAAGGTGAAAACCGAATAAAAATGGAAATTAAAAACCAACAAGGAGAAGTTTCAACACAGTTCAGTTAGATAGAAGACCCACATAAATATTCTATCACAAAACCAAAAGAACATCTTAACATATGGAATAAATAAATAACACCCTCAAATTTCAGTTTATACCTTCAAGATAGAATCAACCCACAACAAAAGCTAGGAGAAACTTAATCCAAAGAGAAATATGAGCCCATAAATCGAAATACCCAGTATAATTCATCCAAAAAGGAGCCCAATAACAAAATTTCTATCAGTAAAACACCCACCATGAACAATATAGCAGAACAGAACCCAATTCAAGCCTAAACAAAAATACTCAAAAAGACACGAAACCTAACAGAAACCAACCAAAACGAATGAATAGCTAGGTAAAAGGAAGATCATAGACAAATATCATGACTTAGGGAATAATTTGAATGAGAATTTAGAGTGCGAAGCATCAAATACCTGGATTTTCGCCTTGACGTTGTCAATGGTGTCACTGCTCTCGACCTCGAGAGTGATGGTTTTTCCCGTTAGGGTTTTCACAAAAATCTGCATCCTTCCTTCTCAGAAACTGGGGAAAATAAGCGCAGATTGAGAGAGAGCTTGGGGAATAAATAGGGGGAACGAGCCCTTAGGCCTTATGACTTTGTAATTGCATAGAGACATGTGGATAGTAACGTAATAAAGAGAGAAAATAATTGCTTGAAATTGAAGCTAGAGAGAAAAAGTGTAGGAATTGAGGATGAAATGCACATAGCCAAAACCCCACCAAAATTGAGAAATATCAGTTTCCTAGAATCAAGATAATTTTACTGCTCCAATTAAAATTATGGACTGGGTGGCTGGACCCGAACCCGAACCCGATGGACCTTGTGGGTTGGGTTGGGTCTGGGTCCACATGAACTTTTGGGACGGACCCCACATATATTTTTGGGTCTTAATTTATAAATAATAGTTATGGTTAAATATATAGATATTTTAGTATTTGGATCGGGTACCGTTGGATCCGAGTCATCCCACAATATATTTTTAGGTCCGGGTCTGGGTTCGGGTCCCATAATACATTTTCAAGTTTGGGTTTGTTGCCATCCCTGACTATGGAATAGTATATAAATGTAGGGGTGGCAACGGGTTGAGTCTAGCTAAACCTGGACCGGTTCGGGTCTAAAATTTGGATCCATACCCAGATCTAATAGGTCTCGAGTCTACCCGTTGGGTCCCAGGTCTAGTCGAATCTATTGCCACCCTATCATTATGAGATTTTTTTCTTTTTTTGCCTTTTTTTTTTTTACCATCATATACCTTATGATCATGAGCTTCTGTTTTTTTGCCAATAATATTGTAAATGTTGACAATATTGTAACAATACGAACACCTAGCTCGCACATAAAGACACATGATTGCTATCATACACTAATTATGGGTACGGGTCGGGTACGACTGGATCCGGACTCAGACCCGAACAGTATTCATGCCCAATATTTGGACCTATACCTGTCGGGTCTCAGGTGTAATCGGGTCTATTGCCACCCCTATATAAGTGGACGATGTACATTTAGTACAAGAAAGTCACAATCACATCGGTCCTTCAGATTTTTAATTAGGGGGTTATGAACATGTCATTAATGGGACTCGAAGTTAAAAAAAAAAAATCTCAAACTTTATAACGCACTCCAAGCTATCTAAAATTGGACCGTCATAAATCTAAAATTTCTATTTAAGCCTCCCGTAAGTTCCACATCAGTCTCCCAATACGATTCACCAATTGATAACATTTAAAGAATCTCCTTTCACCATCCAACACAAATCTAACACTTTTCTCTTTCAAACTTTTCAAAACCTTGTAATAAAGCCAAAACTCGAGCTCTATTAGCAGTAGCCTCTCCACATGGGCCTTAATACAAAAAAAAAGTACCATTTCGTCTGAATTTGAGATTATCCCTCAAACATCTGCTGGCCATGGGTTCCCTAATGAGCTTCCAACAAAAATTAATTTAACACTTCCATACAAAAGCGGAGACCATCTCCCCCGCAATCTAATTCTCGAAACTGCCTGCACACCAAATTTTACAAAATTAACATAACATCCACCTTCAACACACCGACTCCTTTTTTCGTGTTTGAAAACCAAAACCATACATTATGAAGGATCATTTCTTGAATTCTCTCCATATCATAATTATTTCCAACAAAAGTATGCCTATTTCTTTCCTACCATACCTCCCAAAGCAAAGCCCCCGAAAGATATTCCAAATGATTAAACATTTATTTAGCAGGCTTTTTGAATAATGTCGGTATGTTGAGCAGGCAAGGTTACTACACATCCAAACACGATAAGTTATAAGACAATGCAAAAATACATGGTCTCCCGTTTCCTCATCTCCATGATCTCCCGTTTCCTCATCTCCTTTACGTAAAATGCATATGTTAACAATCAATTTGCATCTTCAGTGCAAATTATCCACTGTTAAAAATCTATTTTGAGATAAAATCTATAAGAACATCTGAACTTTATGTGGGAGATGCCATTTTCGCTTGAATTATCTTTGTCCTATGCTGGTCCCAACCGGTTTAGGAACTTACATTTGGATTATCTAAGATAGACTGATTCTATTTTTGTTAGCATGAGACTGAAAAACCCAAAAGCAATACTGTTTAAAATTTGTATTGAAATACATATTTTGAGTTTTGAATACTTAATGAGTAAGTTATTTTAGTCATTTGGATCAAGCAACTTAGTAGTCAAATTATCAAAATGATCTCATTGGTTTAGAGTTCCAGACCAAGGGGAAGATTGGGTATTTTCTAGCAAAATAACAGAGAAGAAATTAATTTAAAATATAAATACTTTTTTTGGTAAATTAACTGATTTAACCACCTTATTGATTTTTCTAGGGTTGTTTCGATATTTTTTTCTATTTTTAAGAATGTATTTTTGGATAAAATGCCTAGATTGTAATTTTAAAAATAATACTATAAATAGTAGTTTTTAGATAAAAACTTAAACATAGAAGTAACACTCTTTATTTCTATTTTATTTCTAAAATATGAGCTTCTTTTAGTAAGACACTTTTTTTATTTGGATGGATATTTTACTAGTCTATTTTCCCCCCAAAAAAAAAAAAACATCTACTTGTTACTAAAATATTTGCATGAGTCTGGAGAGATGACCTGTCAAAACAATAATTGAATATATAAAACTTTGGAAATATATGTAATACATTAAAAGGGAAATATATTGCTTTCTTTTTTGTTGAACTTTCGACTTAGTCCTAATCTAGTTCTCACTAGTCTATTTCCTAATCTAACTATGTTGACTAAATTTTACCATATACAATTTAATTGTAAAAGTTGTGACAAGACATCTTAGGTATACATTAATTTATCTATGTTTAGTTTAATACAATGAAGTAAAGTGCATTGCTTACTATTTCTGGTCAATGCTTTTGGCCTCGTCAAAACTCCTTATTGGAAAGTGATTTCCGATAAATACATCACTTTCCCATGGTTGATTGAGAAATCAATTCTACCCAATTTATGAGAAATTAGCCATGGAAAGAGCCCTCAATTCTGCCCAATGGATTTCGAAATTGCGAGAAATATATCTCCGGCATAGTTTGGAAATGTATTTCATGAATAACAAACATGGTCTCACATTTACTTAGTGGTTCAAGAAGCACAATCTGGATCAGGAATTGCACAATCCGTATTGGGAATCGGTCGAGATAAAATCTAGTTCCAACCAACGGTTGGTACTGGGTCCGCCTCTGGAAACCCCATTATTTAATTATTTTCATCCTTACTTTGGAATCCTTGGTATATTCCATTGTGTAAAACTCTCAACAACTTTTCTTATTTGTTTCAATTTTTGTATATTAGTATTTTCCAAACTCATCGATATGAAATTTCGATTGAGGATCCACTAATCTGACATTAGTAGGTACATGATTCACCCCATCAATTTGTTTCTTTAACCACTTGTTTACTCAATTTTTAACTTGAAATAAAAAGATTTTGATTTCTTTCTCATTATTTTACCAAATTTATCAAAAGTTGACCAAGAATGTTTTATTATCTTGATCGGCAAAAGCCCTAGCAATTTTTAGTTATTTTTATCTAGAAAACTTTAAGATTAATTTTTATCTTTTCTACTTTTTTCTAAAAATATTTATTTATTTGTTGTTTGATTTTGATTTACAACTCTATTATACGAAATCAATTAGTTTGATTTATGTACTCTTTCTTTATCGTTTCGTTATTTTCCATTTTTTCATAAGTTTTCTATCGCTTTGTGATGTTACGCCGAGTTCTATAAGCCAACCCACCGATTCGCCAGTTCGACTTGAGACCGCCGACTGGCGAATGGTTCGACCCACCGATCTGAGCTTTTAAACACTGCCAATCCACTTAAAGAAGAAGAGAGAGAGAGAGACCCACCAACATGTAATGGTCATTGATAGTAATATTGTAATGGCCATTGATAGAGACAGAGAGAGGTCCACCTACGAATTGATTGATATGCAATGAACATTATGACAGAGGGTTTTGCAGGCAGGATCCATGGCCATGGAGAGAGAAATCCTAGAGCCACAGAGAGATCCCATCCATTAATATGTAATCAAGAGAGAGACCCACCAATATGTAAGAGAGAGAGAGACCAATATGTGTGAGAGAGGGGGAGAGAGACCAATATGAGAGAGAGGGAGAGAGAGAAAAACCTACTAATATGTAGAGAGAGAAACCACTAATATGTAGAGAGAGAGGCACCAATATGTAATCGTCATTCATAGAAAACATATATGGAGAGAGTTTAAACTTAAAAGGGCTACAAAAGGCTATAAAAAAAAGAATACATATATATATATATAATATATATAGAGAGAGTTAAAACTTAAAAGACTAGAAAAGGCTATAATAAAAAAGGAATATATATACTATATATAGAGAGAGTTAAAACTTAAAAGGACTACAAAAGGTTATAAAAAAAAGAATATATATACTATATATAGAGAGGGAAATGATGGGATTAGCCAGTAGCTCATATGAAACATGTGAGTCGAGCGTTTCAGATTGAATCTGGGCTGATCTGATTATCACATATGTCTGATAGTGTTTAAATTTTAGTTTTTGTTTTACAAATCCAAATCACTTGAAATTTTAGGCTAGTGTTTATAAAAAATAAGTGAATATTCGAAAAATATCAAAAAAAATATTTTACACGAAATAAATTGATCAAAATACCCCCGAAATAATTCAAAGGTATTTTGGTCATTTTATTTTTTATAAATAATTACTTTTATATTTTTATCAGGTGCATCTTGATGAGAATAACACACATTTAAAATTGCAAGTGATTTGGATGTATAGAAAAAAAAAAAATTAAAACACTACCAGACATCTATAATCGTCAGAACGTCCTAAATTCAATCTAGACTGTGGAGTCTATATGAGCTAGTGAGTTAATCTAATCTCTTTTTCCAAACTTAAAAGGCCTAAAAAAAAAACTATAAAAAAAAAGAATATATAAAGGGAGAGTTAAAACTTAAAAGGGCTTCAAAAGGGTATAAAAAAAGGAAAAACTTAGCGCCACATCGAAGAGAGAGGGAGAGAGAGGGTACGAGAGTAGTACAAAAGGGAGATGAGGCATAAAAGTGGAAGCATACTTACCTGGGCGGGGTCAATCGGTGAACAGAAAGGCC